CTTGTGTAAGTGTGCATGTGACTGGGATAGACATGGGGGTGAAATTCCTCTAGGACATGAAATATAAGGGAGGTGAAAAAGCCCTGAAGTCTCAACAAGTGTGTAAAATCAACTCCTACTACAGCATGCAAGAATATGTCTGTATTACGTTTTTGTTACAGATAAAAACTACGGGCTTTTTTTCTACTGAATATAGTTACGAAATACTACCAAACACAAAGAGCAAAATCATATTCAGTTTTTCATGTATTATAAAGAACGAAGAATAACTACTAGTTTCTAACTTGGTCTAAAGACATCTTAAATCTTTCAGGGATGAGGTCCTGAGTTTGTGTACGACTGCCTGACCAGATACCTGCATCCATGTGGGGCCCTGTTCTAGATCCTTAACAGGATACTTACCTCACTGTGGAGAGTTTTATTTGGCTGTTCTGAAGAATATCTGGAGTTCAATTTATTTGGAACAAGAGCAGTGACTTTTTTTTTTTTTATGCCTTCTTTGCAACTTCAGTTGCAGGGTTTGCTGCTATAAATCTTTGTGTTTTGATCATCAAGCATGGGTTTCTTTTCTTCGTAGGTGTGCACTGCTGCAGACACATATTAGTGTTTTTACACTGCTCCCAAGCAAAAATGCCCTGAAGCTTTTTAGTACTATGCTCTGGCTCGTTTAGAATCTGGGTGCTTTTACGAGATACTGCTAGCTTATCTCCACCTTCTGATTTATACATTGTTTAATTTTCATCTAAATGGTCCCTTTAAAGACAACACATTATTCCAATTGCACAAACATCTAGTTAAAGTAATTAACAAAGTACACCAAAAAAATGTAGAATGGGGTTTCCTCACACATCAACTGGATCTGTGTAAAAACTTTTCAGGCCCGTGATACAGAAAAAGGACAAAAAGAAGCAGCTGCTGGTACACAAGGATGGAAGAACACTGAGCTAATGCTTTTGAAGATGCTTGCTAAAGTCTGTAGAAAAATATCTAAACGTGGGCATGGGAGGAAGCATATGTGCCAGGTAGCATGCAGCAGAGCAGGCAAAAGAAATGGAAAACTCTGTATTGCCTGCTGTGTGTCGACTTGCAGTTCTATTGCCTGTGCTACAGCTGTGTTGTTCCTCACTGCTTTAGTTTGTTCTTTAAATCAAACTCCAGCTTGCTGCTGTACTACTGTGAATGCTATAGTTACAGCAATAAAGTCATAGTACAGGAAGTGATCACATATATGACATGGACTGAGCTAGCAGCTCCTTTCAAACAGGAAGGAAAGACCTCTTAAAACAAATAGGATTCATTCTACCACTTCATATAATGTTGTGTGTGGAGACAGTGTTCTCACAGGAGAATGCATAATTAGTACATAAACTCTGAATAATCCTGAAAGATACAACAAGGCCATGAGAGGCCCAAGGAAGCCTAAACAAGCAAGATAAGAAGAAGCTGGAATTCACTGAGTTAATGAGAACTGTGGACTGTTGGCAAGCTTTCGAGGTCAAGTTCTCACACCTGTGCTTAACCAATTATATGTTAGTCACTAAAGGTCTTCAAGACGTGTATCCAATCATAATATGCCAAATCACTGTAAGTGCATGTAAGAAATAGTATATAAGGAGTTAAGGCTTTGTAATAAATTTGGCAATCACTTGATCACATTGATCGTCTCTGCGTTGTCCGTGACTCCTGCGTCAACAGTTGTGCATTAGCATTAAGAATTATTCTCGATGCTTCGCATGTGATGAAAATGTCTTGAAGTTAATGACACATTTCTGCATATATTTTAAAATGTGGTTGTATGTATACTTGTTACTCAGCACTTGAGATCTAAATACATTACTCTGTACTTGTGTTCTGTTAAATTTAGCTGAATATGGCATGATTTATTTTTCTCTCAATGCATTGATGCTCACCTGCCCAACTTTTACCCATATACTGAGTTTTGTGAAGTTCCTGTGAACTTCTCCCCCCATCAGCACATCACGATAAGCTTACATATAATGCAGGTTGCACTGCACGTGCCCTTCTACAGATCACTAATAAAGATGTATTCAAGTGGCTCCAGCACCAGTCTTTGGGAAGGTCCCATTGCTGACTTCTTTGCCATGAGAAGTGACCATTAAGCACTATCCTTTACCTGGTATCTTTTAATTGGTTTTCAAATCATGAAAAGAACATCGCTCCCAATTCCAGATTAGGCTCTTTATTGAAGTCTTGCCACAGGATTTTTATCCATGTGCTTTTCTGATACTATTTTAGCCTTCTACAACTTTGCGAACTTAAATTCTCGTTCACAAAGGCCCTACACTTTTCCCAGCTAGGTTTATCCTTGGTCTCAGTAAACTTACTTTAGTAGAAATTGTTCACTGGTCTGTAGCTCAGCCTTCGCTCTAGATGCTTCTTCTTATAGATGACAGCTGTGTTGGCAATCTGTCAGTCCTCTGGCAAGAGGGGCAATCTTTAATGATTGGTGAAGGTACCTTGCTCAGCAGTTCTACAACCTCACATCTGATTTCCTTTAAAGCTCTTTGATAAATGCCATTCGGACCCAAGATCTTACCGGCATGTAGCTTAAGTATATAAAGCAATTGCACAGAAGGTGCTAGACCACCTTGATCTACATCTTTTGGCCTAGCTGCTACAAAGAATTTGTCTTCTCTGTCATAGTCTTTATTGGTCAGTGCTCCTTCTAAAACCTTTGTAATCCTCTCACTAGTTCTCTGCCTGGTACACCACTTTTGATGCATTTAAAGAATTCTGGCTACCATGCTTACCACCATGAGCAGAATATTCAGATTGTCTGGGGTTTTATTTTTTAGGCCTATTGTATTTAGAGTTGACCTGTGAGGTGCTGTGAAGTTTCTCGTTCCCTATTGAGCCGTGTAAGTATTTTTTTTTTGTCTCTGTTTCTTTACCTTGGCTTCTAATACAGTACTTAATAGCCCCCAAGCTGGTTGTAGGCATCTCACTATTTGGACCGTCCCTTTTTTTAATTGTTTGTTGTGGTTTTGTTTTTTTTTTTTGTTTGTTTTGGTTGGGTTCTTTTTTTTGATTGTTTTTGCTTGTTTTATTAACTGCCTTCATTTCTACATTGTTCCAACTTGTTAGTACAGATTTGACTGTCCTCTCCTGCAACAGTATTAACGTTACAGAGTAGCTCTCATGAATATCTCTTATGCTGGTACCCATGCATTACTCAAGCTACTGGCTTTTGAATGATTAATATTTGAAATCTACTTCCAGGAGGAGTTACTGTTCCAGGAGGCAGTAATGTATCACTGGAATACTCTACCTCATCACAAGCTGAAATACTTAATATCATTAGGTTGTGTGGTCTTGACATCTCTATTACTACCTGTCTGAAACTTGAAGTTTTTCTAGTCTCACTTCCTGATTGTCATCTTGATCAGGGTCAGTAGCACAGTTCTAATTATTTAGGTTTTTTTTTTTTTAAGTTAGATTTTTTTTTTATATTAGGTCAGTACAGACTTCCAACCATAGAGACCTCCTGCTATGCTGCTTTGTTGGAATTTTTTATCCTGTAAGATGTCCATGCTGTTTCACTTCATGTAATCTTTCACACATGGTGCCACTTTGACACCTGCATACCCTGCTGTGCCATTCTTAAGTCAGCAGCCTGCCAACTGTGTCCTACTCATTATTTTTTTTCCCCGCCAGGTCTCTGAATGCCTGTTATAGCAGGGCTATTGTTCAGTACCACACATTCAAATTCATCCATCTATTTCTTAAGCTTCTAGCACTGACATAAAGGTCTTCCAAATTCTACCCTAGCTTCTACACTGGTATATGCCAATCAACTGGCAGCATGGGAAGTTGTGATCTGCCTTCCTTAGCTAACATCCTGAGCACCTCTGAAAAGGCTGCCACCTCCTTCACAGTCCATCAGTCTGTGAACCAGGTGTTTGCATTTGTCAGTTTTTCCCCTGCTTCTAGTTTAAATGTTGCTCTACAACCTTGCAGCATTTCCACACCAGCACTCTTACTATCGTTTTTGTTTTTCCTTGCCCTAAAAAAATTCCCAGTTCTTAACATACTGGTATTTTCTGGAAAATGAATAGCTAGAGCATTAGATAAAGTGACTTTTGTGAAGTCATGTCAATCTTATAATTTTCTTTAGATGCAACCGTATGTAATGAAGGAAGAAATTCCAACTTGATTTCATTCCTGGAGAAAGTAGAGAGGAAAAGAAGGACTGAAGCAGAGGATCCTGTGATTCTTTGTTCCTGAGCCACAGAGAATACACTATGTAGGTATATGCAAAGGCTTATGAGCAATTCATATAATGAGATGTGATCAGCTACAAAAATAGCACGTTAAATGGCATTACAAATTCCTACATGAGCTTTTTTACAAAGCTGGCTGAACAGAAAACTGGCAAACTGCTGTAACTTCTGTTCCAATGGACTCATCTGTATTGCTTTATAAAGCTCATTCAGGGTAATACATTCCTTCGGCTGCTACTTCAGAAAAAAAGCATGTTGTGGATTACAAAACATTGTTACCCACCCTATCCTCCCATTTTGCCTCCCATTCAGCTTAAAAGGATCTGAGTTCTGACTGATCTAAGCTTTCTTGCCTTCAAGATTCCACAAACCATTTTGAATTTCATCCCTTGGTATGAGAGAGAGAGATGAACTGGCAATCTATGTACTCCAAATACTGCTGAGCCATGAAAAGAAGAAATCTACTATGAAAATATGTACAATATAATTCTATATTAACAGCTCAACATGGCTGGGGTGATCAGAGACTCTATATACATATATACTGTTTCAAAGCAAAGTGGTGGCAGGAGGCATGTAGTCATTATATTATACTTTCCACCATGGTATTTCTTTTAATAGTAGTTGAAGAACCAATGATTATTTTGTTCAGTTCTAAAACACATCTCAAAACCTTATTGCAAACTTCAGGTGAAAAATTTTGGCGATACCCTTTGGACTCATGTACTAAAGTTAATGAGGAAGCCTTAAACAGAAGACCATTATAATGAAATTTATTTAAACTCTTGAGCATACTATAGTCATAACATTTTAGCACTTCCCAATGTGTCGTTTACTGTATGTTTCTATAAATTAGGCATTCATTGCATAAAACTGCATTCATTTCTCTCTTAGCATACTATATAAATTATCACAAAAACAGATGAACCAACAAAAGATTCTTGAATACATGTAACATTGGTGGGTAGATAGTATCAGTTATAGCTTATCTTCAGGGTAAGCAGTTCTAAATGAATCCCTCTTGAATTCATTTAATTAAGAAGCTGAAAAGAAAGAAAACATGATTAAATACCGAAAAATGCATATAAAACATAGCATCACAATTATTAGAAAAGAATAAACAAGGACTTCAAAACATTCATTTAAAAAGTCATTTGACATTTGTGTAATAATCTCTTAAGTTTTTATAGCCCATTTAGTAATTACTAAGCAAGCATGAAAGTTATCAAATAAAACTTGAGTGACTGAAACTTAAGTTTGCCTATTTAAAAAAATTAAAAGGCAAAATGCACTTCAAACATCTGTTCTCTTTAATCAAGTTCTGCATCTGCTCTTACCACTTAAAGTGAGAACTAGCTCTCCCAGGAGATGTTTCAGATTTATTTAAAACATTCTTTAACAGTTTAAGTGGCCCCAGAGTGAGGTGGGTATTGAGGACTTGGCAAGGCTCTGTAGTGTTGCAGACACATAAATTCTGAATATTTTAATCAACTAAGAAGTTTCAGATGACACTGCTGTTTCTTTACCCCTGGAACAAAACTCTGTATTTTAAAAAAGCAGACATATATTGTGTGTCATACCTTTCTATGTGCTTTACCAAAGAAGAGTTACCTCATAAATTGGGAAATGGGAACACAGAAAGACTTGTGCAAACACAAAAGCAATGAACTACTGAATGGAAGGGTTTCTTCACTGCCTTTAGCTTTGCATGGAAGATCTTCCATTTCCTTATAGAAATGCAGTGTGCTGTAGTATACACGTTGTATTAACTTCACCAGTTTTCTGTTCACGGCATAATTAATTAATCATTACAAAATACACATACAAATTCCATAAGCTTTTAAAAGACTGAATCAGTACGAAGATGTTCCCTGCTGCGAAAAGCAGACAAGCTCATTAGGCAAGACATACAAACCAAGGCAAAACAGATGGCAGCTGGGTGAGTGCTGGAGGGTGAAGAGATTGTTGAAAGGGAACAGCCAGCAAGAGCAAATGCAGGAAGAGATGAATTGCTGGGTGCCGAGTGGAGAAGTACGAGAATGCTGAGCACATGAGACTAAAAAGATAACCCAGGTCTAGGACAGATGCATAATGCCAAATATAAGAAAGGAACTAAGAAGAAAGAGGAATACTGGTAGTGAAAAAATTTGGGGGGGAAGAGTGGGAAGGGCTGAAGATTACAATAATCGGGCAGGTAGTGTTGATAGGCTCAGGAGGGGTAAAAGACTGAATGATATAACTGTAAGGAAATAAAAATATGGCAGTGTTGTATGCAATGAATATGCTACTACCATGGCTACAGTTCCTTGCTTTCTGCCTACAACAGAACTGCATCTTTAGAAGCTACGAGATGTGATACAGAATATAGATAAGGTAAACACTGACAGTTATACAGAAGTTATAAGGAAGTTATAAGACACACACTTAAGGGACTAGATGCACAAAGAAGAAAAAAGCCTAAGGCAGAAAAAACACAAAAAGCCAAAACACCATCAAATAGAGAGTAGCCAAAAAGAAGGTGGGGTGGGGGGTAAGCAGGATTTCTGAAAAATCTAGAATTATAAATCAGACATCTGCTGGGATAGATCTGCAAAAAGAAAAAATGTCCCCTTATGCAAACCAGGAAAAAGCAAAACAGGAAAGGCTGGCCAAACTGGGCCCTTCCAGACATGAACTAGCTGGAAATGGGTAGCATAGGTAGGAGTAAATGGTAAACTAAGACTTACAGGAAAGCCATAAATACAAAAAGAGGCATTCCTAATGGTAATAATCACAGAAGGAAGGTCCTACTCATAGACGAGCATGCAATCTTTTTGCTATAGGAAGAAGCACACCACTCTTGAGGTCTGCTGTGGGACCAGACACCTGAAATTTAGATCTTTTCTCTAAAGGACTAGAAATCAGTATCAAACGTGGACTCTTCACATAGAGAGGAATGTGGAGGTCCATGGATATTCACGGACTCAGTGTGCTGTTGGATGGTTTAAATGAACAGAAAAGACTGAGCCATTTTGTCTTCCATTTCAATAGCAGCTTCTCTGCTGAAGAACACAGTGCCTAGGCACATTACATATCACACAAAATGCTGAATGTAAGATGCTTTGACAACTGTGCATTCTTGTTTTCCTGTTTTTTAAAATAATCCTGATTTCTACTGTTGTGAAAAAAGTAGCCTGTTTTGCTGAGTGCTGAAAGTTAATCTTGCCATTTATCAAAAGTAGATTTACTAGTTCATAAACTTTAGGTGAATCAGTTAAATTATGCATGAAATCAACATGGAACATTGAACAGTTGTTAGTAGTGCTCATGTTTGTTAATAAATTTAATTTTATACGTCTGCAAATATTGTTTGTTCTACTTTTTATCACTATATTTCCAAGAAATAACTATTCAATTTTATTCACGTCCATTTAATTTCAATTGCTAAATATTATACAGGATTTCTTTACTGAAAATAATTTAATTACAGTGAGGGTAGATATTTCTTATACAGTGTATATAGCAAGTGCCAGAAACTCTCAAGCTGTGGGGCGTCTTGCAATTTGTCTGTTCTTGTTGTACTGGCTATTTTTCTCTAAGCAACGAATGAATACTTCATGTCTGACTTAATATTATGGTTTTTTGATGAAAATGAGGCATCTTTTACTTATCTTTCATCTTTCTTGTAGCTTAGTCCGTTTTTTTCAACTAGTCAATACAGAATATGTATTTTCCATTCCACGAATACACAGTCTGGGAGGCTGATTATTCTTTATGGTTTAACTAAAACGTCTTCACATTACTCTCTTCAATAACACCCAAATATTGAAGGGCTATAAAGGAAAATCTGATGATAATGAAACACTCAATTACAGGTACCAAAAAGTTCTTTAAAAAAGCTACTTAATGCAAGCTAACTAATGAAAACTTGCATGAAAACTCTGAATTTTCAGATGGTCATATAACGTTAATTTAGACTAAAACAACAGCAAATGGTAAAATGTAGTCTTTAAGGGAATATAATACTGTGCTATTGTACTGATGTTTTCTGTTTTGTTTTTCCCATGCTCCCTCATTCCTTTTAATGTTCTGTGTGCTTTTTGGGCTGAAACTGCCTAAAGTGAGGTTTCAAGAGAGGCTGCCAACCTCCTTCGTGACTAACAAAGTTACCTTAAAGAGTTTATGTTTTTGGCTTAGTTAAGAATAGTCTGTCATTCCTATTTGTATTAATTGACAGATAAAATTCCATGTTGCTATAATGTTGATATATATGATTAATATGTCATTTATTCAGTTTAAATATTGGGGTGAGAAAGCTTCCAAAAAAGATTATCTCAGCTCTATCAACACTCATGCAGCATTATAAGGAGGAAAATGTTCAACAGCATAAAATAAAATTATTGCATTATCTTTCAACAGTTAATGACAACAATTAAAATGAAAATTTAAGCAAAATGAAAAATTTCATCTAGTTCCCATAAAAAGGTGGGTTAGTGCAGCATGAAAAAGCCCTGCAATTGTAAAAATGGCTCTAGCAGAGAGATTTGTTACATGCTAGCTCATCCACCCTGACTGTGTTTGCTCGGTAAGTAACCTTCAATGCTGACCTCCATTTCGCTTCACCTTTCCCATTCCTGTGTTTCACTGCGTAAGGGTATTTTACTAGCATGTTAATTAACCATTTTTTCCCCCACCCCTAACCTTCAATAAGAAAATTCTGGCATAATTAAAAACTTAATTGGAAAATGCCTGAAGCGGATGAAAAAACCTAAACAAAATGTTACTGTCCCTTCCTACATACATGCCCCCTAAAGAGCACTCCTATAGATGTGTGCTCTTATCTAGCACTTCTTTAGACACTTTTCTGTTTGTCACAGAAATTAAAAATGGCAATGGCATTACCAGGGTCAAAGAAATAACATCATTCCCAGCACTTTTATTTATGCACATTAGAAAATAACAGTCTTTCTCCAGTTTTTGACTCCTGTTTTATGTTTATCCACATCTGTTCTGATTTATCTTCACTACATGTAGGTCGTTGAAGAGAAAGGGGATGCACAGCAGGTTGTGTTACTGTTTCAGTTTTTATCGATGTGTGCTGCTTCACAGAGGACTTATTTGTGTGAGAGAACAGAAACAATTTATATGACTTTTTTAAAAATAGGACAGTGAAGCTGATGCTTGAGATCATGCATATAGCATTTAAACAATTTTAGTTTTCTTTAACTGTTGCTTTAGGCATGCCAATACAAACATTCTTTTTTCTGACAGATCATTAGTATGCGTTGTTGTTAATATTGTTAAAGTCAAAGCTTTACTAGCCTGAGGACAATTTATCACATAAAGACTGACAGTTTCAAGGTGAAACCTACAACCAGGGAAAGCAAAAGAACAGACGTATTTCACATCTTAAGATGTATGTACACTGGGATCAACTGATGGGATACAGAACTCCTTGGAAGATACTAAGGAATTCAGACAAAAAGACGATTGTATATCGGCACATATGACTAAAGTTAAAATGCAGGATATTAAATTAAAGGGAGAAAGAGAAAATAACAGAGTTTATATACCTGGTCCTCCTTAGTGTTTTGCACATTCACTTCATTAAAATTCGTAAGAACTATGCACATAAACCAAAAAGGCTTCTCTTAAGAAACACTACACCATTGACATGAAGATGATATGGTTGAGATCACTGAAGCATCAAAGAATTAACAGTACGTTATTTAAAATAATGCAACAGAAAATTGGGTCAGAACTACCTAAGAGACCAACAGAAACACTGGAAAGGACCAGATAAGTAAATTATGCATTTAGGAAACTAGCAAATGGAATTTGATAATAGCAAAGGAAAAGATCCATTCTAGCGATGGTTTCTAGTAATTCTGCATTGAGTGAGGATTTAAGACTGAATGATTAACTTATTCCCATGAAAACATGATGAACTTAGGACAGTCCAAATAAGCCTGTAAGATCCTGCTTAATTCTGCAGGAGCAGTAAAGAAACCAAAGAAAAACTTAGCTATTAAATGTTTCTCATGTACTTAACCATCCGAGGGTTCATTCTTTTATGAATTTACTTGATGGGTGTTACTAGTGAGTTGTGATATTGAATCTACTTAGCTCCTTATGACAGAATTTGGTTTATGGATCTAATAATTCCTTCATAGTAACAACATGATGCAGCACTATCTCATTTTAACGGGACTGTGATGAAGCGGTCTTTTCAGCACGGCCCTGGATTTCTTTCTTCACGAGCTTTAATGTACTAACAGGAGCACTCCTTTTCCACATGCACTGCATATCAAGCTAAATTTCTTGAAATTTAACTTCTAATAGATTTCAGTTCTCTTTCTCTTCCCCCCACCCCCAATTCCTGATGTCCTTTATTCTTAGCTTGCATACTAAGAGAGGAGTACAAAATCTATATAAGACTCCGATTTCTGTTAGAAACTCCAAAGAAAAAATTGACTGAATACATCTTCAAGCTTGTGGGGACTGGGGTGAGTCTATTCCATGCAAAATTAACAGCAAACCTTAGCAAGATGGAAACCCCTTGCTTTACTTACATTAAGATTTTGCAAGCTTACAATACATGATCCTACAGGATATGTAGTCGATCTGAGCAATTACGTCTGCAATAACATCAATGGTATTGTGTAGGCATCCCAACTCACAGAGCATACTCATGTTCACAAGGTACTTCTCAACCTCAGACATCCTAGGTATCATACAGCAGTCAAAAAACCCTAGTGCAAGCATTCACAAAAGCCATGCAAGGTCTGGAAATAGGCACAGTCAAACAAGCATGTTGTTAATAGCTGATAAGGACATTCCTAAGATGAAAGAACTAAAAATTAAACAAGCGTCAGGTTTTCTTTAGAAGCTGTTAAACTGCATGGCAAGTAATACAACTGCTTTTTCCTTTTAGTAAACTTGTTATGAGAAGATACAACTAGAGATCAGACCATAGGCTGACGTTCTTTGGCAGTGCTTCTCAAGTGAGCTTATGAGCTGCAGATCAAGTTCTTGATTCCTTCTTTAAAGTTTGTCTTAGGTAATTGATGGGAAGTAAAATTACCCCACATTTAGGAAAAACAGATCCTGCATTTCATCCCAAGTCAGTTGAGCTACAAAGGTAGTCTCCAGAGAGGATACTGAAAGGCTGTACAGACTATCCCAGATGGCAAACTACTAACTCCATAGTGATAAAATCTTGCTATATGATACTACTGGGCCCTTTACTGACCTCTTTCCTTAGCAGAAAAGAGTAAAAAGCAGGAGCACATTTCTGCCTATTGCAAGAGGAAGTTTCCTTGTCCTGAGAATGAGGTTATTAAATGCTAAAAGTGGTCTGAGATGATCTAATGAAATGTCAATAGAGAGACCATAAAGAGAATAAGCTCAGTAAATAAGAAAATAGTTCTAAAGTCTTGTAGCAAAATCTAATAGAAAAATTTTATGTATTAGCTCAAATATTAGATGTTGGCTTTGCAAGGCGGAATCCTTACTAGTGGAACATTACACAATATAAAGCTGGCTGCTGCACTAATCACAAGACCTAGTCAAAGAAATGAACACTAACAAATATCTGAGGAAAACTGTAGTATTCCTGATGTGATTCTTTAACAGTGGCTGTAAAAACAACAGAACTGTTAACATTAAGAGATGCAGTTCTTTTTTACTCTACCTACTTCAAAATATAACTTTCTGAACCTGTTGTACTAATGGTTCCCTTATGTATATATTAGTTGGCATTTCATCATGCCATATCTAGTAGCAAAATTTTACCAACTGCAGTACAAGTCATCCACTTACTCTTCCATACACAGCAATAGTAATACAGACGAATATTCTGTGAAGGATTAGTCTACTAGATTGTAGACTAGTACAAAGGAAATTTTCACTAGAAATAAGGAAAATCTCATCTCTTTAAATGCACTGAGGACAACTAGAGGGGGGAAAATGCATATTATCTATATTGTAAAATGTAGCATAGCATGTTTAGATTATGTCAACAGCATACATATGTATATATTTATAAACATATGTATATATTTATAAACATATATATATATACACACACACAGAAAAAAGAAGTTGAAATGGAGCAAAGATGGAACCAATGGAAGAACAGTATAGTTTCCAATAGCTATACACCATCTGTTCCTCACAGGTTACTATAATAAATGTATAACATATTAGCAAAATGTGAATCAGAAGCCTAGACTACCTTGGTAGGTGACATCCTAGATGAACCCACACACCCACAAAAGGCAAGTATTTTCCTCTTTTTCTTTTGTTTTCTTGTCAGACAAAATGTAACTGCTTAATTGACAGCTGTACATATAATTAAGAAAGACTATAACCTTTTCTTTCTAGTGTGGCTGACAATAAAAGAGGTTACTTTTAGTGACAAATCACAGCTTGGCACTGTGGACTGATTTGTGGTTTTGTGCCTTGTCTTATGTACATTTTAGTTATAAAGATATACAAATAAGTATCTAATAAATGTTTTGCACATGTTTTGCTTTGCATTTTTCATGAAATACTGCATATACTACATGTCTGTGCTCAACTGGTCTGCATTAACAGGCAATGTTAACAACATTAGCTCTCCAACCATTTTTGGTTTGCTTTAATTATTTCCCATTCTTCCTGCTTCTTCCAGCCCCCACAGACTTCAGTGGTAAAAAATAAAGATTGTTTACATGAAAGCTATTCTTAAACTTGCACAAACTATCTAATAAGATGAGAATTTAATGAAAGATTACCTGTATGGATAGCCATGGTATTTAGAGCGAAATATCGACAACAGGAAGCTGAAGAAAAAGACCACTAGACCTAGGCCCACCAGACATATTACTGGAAAGAAAATAACTTTATTAGCACATAAAAGATTTAAAACTGAAGTCTCTACAAAGAGTATTATTTATGACAATCATTCATAGCGAATTTGGCACAGTTAAATGCAACTATGATACTGCCTTGATTACTGATCCCCAGTATCTTAGAACAGGATTTCAAACACATATGGAAATAACACTTATGGATATTAAGAAAAAATAATACATCAGGGTGAATGTGTTTTCAAGAAAAAAGAGAAGAAATCTGCAACTCAAATATATGTGGATGCAAACACCTTACTGCTGATAATGGATTTAATAACCCTGTAAATTATACATATCAACCAATGTAATTCCAGGTTGTTGTTTGTTCTTTTTGGAAAACAAATTACATTTATAAAGGTATCCCTTGACTAACTGAATTGTGTTCTCTCTAGTTAACCACCTATGACTCAAGTAATAGCAAAGGCAGTTTAGTAACTACTTTATCTAGTTCTTAGTGACTAAAATATTTTGCTATTTTAAGTTCCAAGTCTGGTAGCCAAATCACTTTTTACTCTTAACTAGATAGCAATATAAATTTTTAGGTTTTGAAGATAAAGAGCAATGCTGCCGGCCTTCTGAAAGCATCCAGATGCAAGTGCTTTGAGTCTTCTCAGGCAGAGTGAATTAACTAAGTAAATGCTTTAAACTAAAAAATCAGATTTGGAACACCATTTGGCACCCTGTGTAATAGGAGCATAAAACCTTTTTGTTCACGATAGCTTGCTCAATTACATGTAAACAATTTTTTTTAAAAAAAGGCAACACATTACAAGGTAATGCATACAACTGAGATGCCACTCATCTACATTAAATAATGTTTTGATTCTACTGAGATACTGTGTTAGGCGAGCCTAATACGTGAGGTAATTGTCCATGGTGGCTCCCCCTCACCCCTGATGTGTCCTGCTTCAGCTCCTCCCCAGAAAGTCCTACTTTGGTGGCTCCCTGGAAGGTCCTGTTTTGGTTCCTACCGGGAAAGTTCCGCCTCAGAACTCCCTGGAAAAGTCTTGACCCTTGGAGACCTTTCTAGATATTGCTGGCCACTTCTTCTGACGTAGGCTGGCCCTCTGAGTCAGAATGAGTTGGTATTTTTGTTAGTATAAAAGCCTGAGCTTCATGCAATGTGAGGTTGTAGAACTTTGTGCCATCCAGGTCAATGTTGCCTTTGCAGGGACGCCTGGCACAGTAGAACCTGCCTCCTCACATGGTGATGATGATTCTTGGAGCTGGTTTCCTCATCGTCTTCACAGGGTCCTTGGGGTTGGTAAGGTATACGCTCTTTGGAAATATCCTTTACTGTATCTGTTAGATTCTCTATATTTTCCTATATTAATAAACTAGTTGAGAGTTTTCTATTTGTATCTCATTTGCTCTTGCCTGGAATCCTTGAACTCTGGAACAGATACTCTGATTTTAAAAGCTTCTCTTATACTATTCCTACTTTAGCTGAAACATTGCTATTTAAGTGTAGTACTCATGTTTCAAAAGTGTGCTTCCTTTGAGCAAATGATGAGCAACCATGAAGCTGGGGAAACTGACAATGACACATTTTTTCATTAAAACTGACCAAGCAGTCAACTGAAAAATAGAATTTCTGCAGTTATTTTCAGAAAACTAGTCATGTATAAATCTTATAAACACACCTCATTATAAAGAAATCACCACTCACAAGTATGACTGCAAAGCATGAATGAATTAACTGTGAAGCCTTAACAGTGCAAGGCAGGTACACAGAAAGCATCTATGTAATGGCCACAAGAGGAAGAGCGTCAGAATTTGTACTGCAGCCCACTGTTATTTCACTGTGCTCATGTTCTCAGATGCAGACCTCAGTCATGATCTAAGACCATATTCTATTAAACTCATGTCATTGCCTCTTCTGACATCGGTATTAAAGCTAGATACTGTAGAAGGTATTAAAACTTAAATTGCAGATCTACAGCTCACTGAAGGAGACCCTCAAATCAAGGTAAGGGAACTCTAGCCAATATTCAACCATCTATTATGAAAAATTCTAGAGTGCTTGTATAGGAAATAGTTGGCAAGCCCTATCTGTAATACTGTGTATTACACAGAACCAGCTAAAGAACTGCCCTAGAAAGAAAGCAGAAGCAGCACAGGAGGTCTGGTATGTTCCAAAGATCTTTGACACTTCATACAAGAGAAAAAAGTAAGTGGCAGGGGGTATGAAAAAACATATAAAAGGTACAAAGGCGGACATATTTGTTTCTACCTGTATCCTACTCAGTAAAAGTTTGTTTGACATAAGAGGAAGTTTCAATCTGGATAAAATACTTCTACACTATATTTATGCAATTCATTGCCAAAAACTCCTGCAAATATTCTAAATGACAACATTCAAAAAACCATAAAAGTTGCACTTGAGAAGAAGAATTCTTAAGAAAGAACTTCTTAAAAATCTTCAGACATTACAGATTAGGATATGTCCTGTAATACATCTACTTTCACCTTCTTCTGGAGACACGATACTGTCAAAGTGTACCAAGTAAAAGGGTTTTCACACTCCTCTGGATGTTGTAATCTTAAGAATCTTAAATGCCTATTTTGAAAACAACCTTTTGAAACTCTTAATCGTTATGTCACTGACTTTTAAAATAATTCAAGAGCTAAGAAGTATTTATGCAGTACTACATAGTGTTAAGCTGTACCTAGGCTAAGTATACTCAAACATTTATTTTACTGTTAAAACTTCATGTGAATGCAGTTTTATCAACATAATTTTTATACTCTCCTCTTCTCCACCCCACAAAAGGTAAACATTTGTTTGAGGTAGAGACCTTCTGAAAATTTAATCAGATATTAATTTGTAATTTCTAAACGTCTTCTAATTGTTTAAACATCATCATTGTTGTATTAAATAACTTACTTCTCCTTTTCCCAACATCCCCTTTGGAGGTAGCAGCTTCATTTAGGAGTACCATTCCCATGGTGATAGCAGCATCTGTATTGCCATTGTCAAGGAAAACAGCAGATTGTGGATACCTCAGAAAGCCACAAAGGTACATCTATGAGGCAAAGCTTTCAAGTTCAGAAAATGAAAGAATTTCTCTATAAAACTGTACCAATACACTCACCTGTGGCAAAAATGTGTAGCAAGATATTTCTCTGTGCATTTTTGCTTAAAAAAAAAAAAAAGGAAAGAAAATTCAAAATGCGTCAAAGGACAAGCCATTGAGTAGGACACAAATTTTGGACTGTTATGGAAACAGCTACTTGCAAATAGCTTACAATATTCTCTATATTGGTAGTAGAGAGTTTTAAAACATGAAAACTGTAAGAATCAGAAATAATTCAGTGTTATTGCACACAATTTGCTGATTATTTGATACAATCTGAACCAGTTGGACTGCTTTATCTTCCTCTGCTTTTAGATAAGACATTAGCTCCCTCTTTAGTGTCATATTGCTTAATAGTTTAGAAGAAAACCATCTCAGAGGCAAAGTCTTCAGTCAATTCCAGTATTTTATGGCCTCATTATAACTGTTAAAAATGTGAACAAGTACATAATGATAAAACAGTTTAACTAATTTAGCAGGATCTTAAACCATTCACTTAATTGTTTGTTTGAAACTGTATAAACAAAAAAAGAATGGTTACTACTGCGCATAACATCTGTTCTGAAGAGGAGAAATACCTGAATGCCACACTGAAGCAGGCTGAACAAGGGAGCTATATATCACAATTTCAGGAAATATGAACTTCACCAGGGTTAACTAATTCTTAAATAAGGTTGGATTCTTAAGCATTATTTATCCCAGGGCTAGGTAGCAGGATGATTACAAATGTTAAGAATGGTAAGATGTTTCTATTTGCATGCAGATATTTCACAAGAGATATTTCAAACATGCTGCATACAGAAGGAGTATCTGCATCCTGTAACATTATACTTGCACTGATTCTACCAGTGTTCATATTAAGATTCTTCATGTTAGAAATGTTCAAAATTAGACATAAATGCTCAAAGACATCTGAAATTTCAGTTATATCATTTCAATTAAGGTGAGCCTGAGCAAAAGGATTCAGAAATATCAGTGTCAACGTCATCATACGTTATCAGAGATTAGCAGCGTGATTCAGGTTTGAGACTTCCAAATTTTATATACATAGAGCTAAGAATTTTAGACCTGCGGCTGGCTGAACTGCTGGGCTTTTTTAACAAAAAGTCTTACATCATTACCCCTAAAGCTTCCCTCACATTGTCACTATTTTTGCTTCAGGTGCTGCTTTCCATATTTAGTCATCACTGTTGAGCTTTCAGCCCCACAGGTTGCCTTTTAGCTTCAACGATACCAGCTTCATAACTTCATGACTGAGCATGTCATTATGTCATTTGCCTCAGCTCTGTGATGCTGAAAGAAAAATTCAGTCTTACTGAGTTGTGATTCCAATGCAATAATTAGCTTTTTACAACTGAATATATACCTTGATATTATTTTTTTGCTCCTGTTTATAACACTGTATGTTGTGTCTTTACATTACTTTCATATTCTGCAAAAAGAAAGCAACAGTCCTACCTCTGAAAATAATCTTTTACAGCATTGAATTTCTCTAGCAGTGCAGAATGCAAAATTTTAGCAAGTGTTTACTTGGACAGTTTTCCATCTGCAAAAAATAAGATAGCATCAAATGACATACTTATTTTCTAGTTCCTCTTTATCTCCCCCACTATCCATTACAAAACTATTCTGAAAAGATGGGGGGGGGGGGGGAATGGCACTCAGATAAACCATAGCTAGCAAATGCTTTAAATTCAGATGCTCATATTTTCTGACAAATGTGTCCCTCTGTAGCAATCTTTCTTCTGTGTAAACCAGTTATATGTCCTCTCAAATTTGGAATTATTTCACTTTTACATATTAAACTTCTGCTGCTCCTTTTCCCAGCTGGAACACACTTTTTGTAGAAATTGACAACATATATTATGTAGTTAGTGCTTTTAGATTACCACACACACTTTAAAAACTTATGGTTCACTTTATCATACATGGAACAAACAAAAGCATACTTTTTTTGCAAAGGAGTAATAAGATCAACAGGAAAATTTACAGTGTATGGGGAGATATTTGTCTTAACTTTTTTCTACTAATACTTAAACTTCTAAAATACCTGCTATAATTTCAGAAATACTGACCATATTACAAGTTCCTTATCTGAACCATTTCCATGTGGATTTAACTTTACATTTGAGAAATCCAAGCATAATATGCATTCCAGTCATTCTATTTAGGAAATACTCTTTAGCTACATGCAGTTCTTCAAAAACAAGGTATTTGCCGCTTCTCACAGCTTGGGAATCTGATTTTTATCATAGGTTGAAGAAAATGATGGAGACAAAAAGTATGGCTCTGCAATGAAACAGGTCTCATGGTTTCATTCAAGACATTTTTGCTTCAGTTCAGGAAACAATGAGCAATGATTCTAATATTCCACTTATGCTATTCAATGTGCAATCTATTTTCAATTAGGCCATAACCATCACAGGCCATGAGGGCTGAGGAAGGAGGTATGTTTGAGACGGCAATCACTGCATGTCTCATCCCAGTGAAAAAGGATGACTTTTAACTCAGAAGTTGAAAAACTGGAGCATAGTCTGAAAATTATTTATTTGAATATGAATGCAATTTAAGCATGAATTGCACACAATCAAGAGGTACTTCAGTATTTTTTGATGGCCTGAAATCTAGTTGTACTGATACTCACAATAACCCTGAACATTCTTTGACCTTAAAATCTTCTTACTTCAGCTACACCAAATGGCTTTTCAAGAATTTTATGAATTATTACATGAGTCTTGGCACTGCAGTTCCCCTCAACTTCTTGAAATATGCAATTCAGAACAGTGAAGTAGCTGGAAGTTTCCATTTCAACCATTTAAATGCTAACCAAGCTACACCACTTTCCCTTCTGATGCTTTTTCATCATTTTAACAGAGTATCAATTTGATACTAATACAGATCTCCTATCATGAAAAAAATTATTAATTAAGAGTTGTTTCAGCTTCAATTTATGAAACTGCTTTTCCAATCCACAGATAATCTGATGGAACCATCCATTTGTGATGGTCTTAAAATACTTGAGAATGGGAAAGGCCATGAAAAAGAGAGAGAAGAGAAAGACTCTGGGAAGCATTTTAATTCAACTGCAGAAAAGTAGCACAGGGATACTGGACTGAGTTTGTGGTAAACCACTAATCAAATATGGGTTTCAACCTCATTTACATCGTAATTATTGATACTGGTGTCATCTTTCAGGATCACCTAAAACTAACTCAGGGGAAAACGATTTTCTACTTCTAATTTGTGACCTTTCAGGTTTTGTAAATTACATCTGATGGGAGTTTCAGGGTCAGTCCTGTCCATCTTACAAATTGTTACAGTGTGGTTTGCCACTGTACAAAATAAGTATTTTTTCCACCTCATTTACATTTTATAATGTGTCTATAAATTTTCTTGCTTAGATGCTTACAAATCACGGAACTATACAGATCTCCAGAACAAGAAAATGTATAACAGTACTTCAGTTTCCTTAACATTAAGCATACTAGAGACTAAAATAACTGAATAAGTTTTTCTTAGCATCTTCATTTCTTAACATTTAAACACAGATACATTGCCTAAAACAAACTCTATTCGAGCTATTTCTAAGTATTTATGATGCTGCATCATTTTCTTTCACTATTCTGACTCTATTCCAAACACCTACGTTATTTTCAAGCATTTAATTTGAAATACTAGACTTAGTATGTTGTCTCATCTATTTGTTAATACACACTTGATCCTTAAGCATGCACACACACCATCGCTCTTACTTTCTCTGAGCACCTATAAATCTTTTTAAGAATACCACATGATCTTTTTCTGTATGATAAATCATCATCAATATCACTCTAGGTTGGTATTATGCTTTTCTCCATTGTTAAAGACTTGTGCAGCATCTTAATAGACCCAGCTTATTCCTAGCTGAATGCACTTGAGGACTATTCAACCGAGTAAGTTATCTGTGGATTCAAAAGGTAAAACATTATCTTTGGACTATGTTTCTGCATCTTTCAGCCACTCAAACAACTATGTTTCTTAACAGTTAAAACAACCATTAAAATTACTGATGCCTAAAAAGACCCTTAAAAATGCTGCTGTCTTTAGCCTGTGGTCAGTGAATACCTCTTGGTCTGTGAACTAGTAGCCAGGTATTTGCAAAAGGCAAATAAGAATGGGGCAATTGCCAGAGCAGCAGACAGCTAAATTTGCTTTGCAGGGGGTCTGCACTTTCATTGGAAAATTTTAAAGCAAGAAATAGAAAACAGTTGAAAATCACTGAACTACAGAGTTAGTAATTTCACACAGAGGACACATGCCATATTTGAAGGCAATTCATGAAATCCAGTATCATTCACTTAGCTTATGAAAGAGAATTATGTTGAATGCTGCACTGAGAAACACCCAGCTGTAATTTAAGATCTCTGCATACCTCTGACATGTAAGAGACTCGAGTATCTCTCTTCAAAGGTCATATTATGAATTATTTAAGGTCAAGATGTAGGAGAATGAGGTAATGGAAGGAAACTTCTTGATTTTTCTAAGCTATAATCTCCTTATGCTTTGTTACAGTTAGGAGGAGTCAGGCTGGCTTGAGAAGAGCCAGAATAGCCTACAGTATTAAGAGTACTGGTGCATAACGCAAGAAAATAATATAAAGCATGCAGTATGTTTTGCTGCTTTGGATGTTGATTTCCATAGTTATTTAAGAAGCATGCTTATATATAGCATAATTTTGTGCTTTTAGTTCTATCTTTTTCCACTATGGTATTTTTCTCTTATTCTTAAGACTAAGCATACAAAAACCTTATCTCACTACTTTAGTTGTCATCATCATTCACTTTTACATGATCTCTGGGGAACACGGTTTGATTCTATTATGCACAACTGATAAAGTCTTACAACC